TTTTCAAAATAATGTGAAAAATCAATGGTTGCAGAGTATTATAAAAAACTTATCATCTCTACTCAATCGCCTCTATGGTTTTGGTCAGATCTCTTCTATATTTTGATGATAGAATTTTCATATGAATCTAATTCTAAGTCAAAAATTGGTTTGGAATGAAAAGTTAATTTGGAAGAGGATGTGTTTATTGATGATAAAGAAACTTTTAATATCTTTAATATGGTTGAAAATTATAATCTGCGTACTTTGTTTGAAATAATTGATGAATAAGAAATTTGTAATAAGGCAAATAATGGAAAAATTGTGGGTGCATATGAAAATAAAGAATTTGTGACTCAAGAAGAAATTTCACAAGTAATTGAGAAAAAAGAAAGTGAAATCAGTGTTCAAAATCAAGAGGTGACTAAAGATCGTGATGATGTAGAAATTGTTAATTTTGTCAAGATTGATGAATTTTTTGAAGAGAAAAATCATGTGATGGAATTGGTTGATGTCAATTACAAAATGGACGATTTAGTTGAAAATTGTGACACTGCTAAAATTGATACTGTTGTCAATGTTAATCAATAAACACAAAAGTATGATGATATTGAAAATATTGATGGTGGCAATTATGATTTTGTGATTTCAGAAAATTTTCTTTGTGATGCGGATAAATTAAATTAAGGAGAATGTAATGAAGAATGGGTGAACATATTTGAATTTTTTTATAAGAGTGATCAAGCGAAAAAATTGTATCTACCGCAATTGAGTTTTTCATGCAGATTGAATCTCGTGATGGTATTGGAGATGATAATATCAAGAGTTTGGTTTAAGAGAGGCAATGAATGAAATTAAACCAAACTGTATTTAGTTTCCTAATTCTTTTTGGTGTCTTGTTTGTCTAGTTTCCATATTAGATTAAGAAATCTCAAATCAATTTTCAAATAAATTTTGGTTTACAATTTTATTTGTTTTAGTAAGTTTTGAAGCTTATTAATACTATCAATCTAGTAGGTTATTATTTAAAAAATTGAGTTAAATTTTACAAATAGATTTGAGACAAAGTCTCATAGTTGAGATTTGTGAGTTGTCGTAAGCAAAAAGTTACGACTTGGTATTGTTATTGTTGGGTTTTGAATTAAACAAAATTATTAAGGAATTTGTTGAGTTTTAAAGTAAAATGCCTCAATTAAGTTATGGCTAAATACTGATAAAAATTTAGTGTATGATTAAACTTTCAAACTGAATTTCAATTTTAACTGATAAAATTATTGGACATTGAAAGAGATATATGCTTACAGATGAAAGGGCAGGTTGAGGTCGATTTCATTGATATATTGTAGAGTGTTGATTCTGTATTTGACAATTAATGGATGTTAGCATGTGTATTGTATGTATGTATGAACTTTGTGTACTGATCGATAAGAAGCAATTTAGGGAAGGGAAGGGTCCTATTTGTAGTAACTCAAGATTTGGAGCATTAATTGGATCGCACGTAGAAATAATTAGTACGAGGTGAAGGCATATATATTAGGGAAATTTATCAAATTGGTTCCTAACATTTACACAAAAAAAATTTTTTAGTCCCTAACATTTAAAATCAGTCAGAATAGTCCCTAACATATAAATTATTATCCATTTTGATTCTAATACTCGTATTTACTCATTTCTCCCACTGAAAATAGCATGCATTTTTCATGTGGGTATATTTTCAAGGGCAAAATCGAAAAACACACTTAATTTCCCTTCTAAAGCAAAAATACATCGGACCACCACTCCCTTTTCACCTTTTCCCCTCAAATTACAATCACAAGAAAATATGCCCATCTCCAAAATCATCAAAATTTGTCGAAACTACTGCAGAGACGGTAGCTAGATTGCCTAATCAACTCATGCCTATCTAAATTCAGCTGGAGCCCCCACTTAAGAATCAAATCCCCGAAATTGATGATCAAGGGTTGAAACAAGTGATTAAGGCCCCATTTGACACATCCATCAGAAGTCTCGGGATATTAATAGGGGAAGCTGATCAAGATCTGGTCTCAGAAGTTTTCTTCAAGAAAATGGATGAAACTGAATTATTTGCCGACATGAAATTGGACTTGCCCAACTCCAACAACAGCAACAATAGCAGCCACACCGTTAGGGGAATCAAGCCTCAAATTGACGCGGGTGCTTTTCAGTTGGAGGAGAAAGCAAAGGCCTATAAAAATGCTGGCGAGACTCTGGAAACAACCAAGATTTCCTCACCAAGACAAAAAATTGACCCAGAAGGAAAGATGATAAAGAAAAACAGCAACAACATGGATGACGTTGACAATCAAAGAGAGGTTAAGTGGGAAAAGAATCATGGTGAGCTGAATATACTAAAATGGAGTTTAACCAAAATTAGAGCTGTTAAACGAGTCGAGTTAAGCTCGAGCATAGGACAATCGAGCTCGACTCGAACCCCTAATCGAGCTCGCTCGATTATTAATTCGAGCTTCACAAGGCGCTCTAGCTCGACTGATGTGGTGGTAAAAAACTTGAGTTTGGGTTTGAACTCGAGTTTGAAATCGAACCGAGCTCGAGCTCGCGAAAAATGTCAATGATAGCTTACTAAAAAAAAGAAAAATGTCAATGATAGCTTACTAAAAAAAAAAAAAAAAAGTCAGTGATCCTAAGTTTCCGGTGTTCTGCTGCAACAAGTCCAATCATTGGTTCTTTTTCTTTATCTCGGGGATGGAACTTGAGCGCCCTTTATCACCACAATTGCATATATTTTTTAGTAAGATATGTAAAAAAAAAGAGGGAATTATCGAGTGAGTATATGCTGAAAATTCCAGCTTTCATATTCCTCTTCACTCTAGAAAAACCATTGCCTCAAATTTAAACTGTTGTTAACAACTAGATGAAAACACAATTCCGTTAATTTTGTAAGCATTAGAACGTAGTAGCAAAAACTGCACTCGGAGTACATCGTGTTAAAAAAAAAAAAAAAGATAGACAGGAAAATGATAGTTTAAGGGGTGCTTTGCAACCTGAAGAAAGTTGAGGGTGTATCTTACAATTAAACTTGAAAGATTTTCTGGGTTAAAGCTCTCAAATGATTCTTCAGTAGTGCGTCTTTCTTGAAAATTATCGGCTCAAAAGCTGCAAGAATGAGGCAAACAGGGAGAGAATGGGATTTCTGTAAAGGGTGGTTCACGATCAGTGACAGTAGCGAGAATGGAGGGTGCTCCATATAGTGAGTCGGTGACGGTGGGTGCGGCTGCGGAACGGAAAAAGAGTTGATAGAAATCAGAGGAGGCGCCTGGCCGTTGCTGCTGCGGCTGCGGTTGTGGATGGCGCCTGGCGGTGAGAATGGCGGCTGCGGCCCTGCGGGGTGAGGCTGCGGCTGCGGGGTGCGGCGTGAGAATGGAGGCTGCAGGGATTGGGATGCGGCTGCGGGGTGACGGCTATGGGACAGGAAAACGAAGGACCAAAAGAGGAAAGGAAGAATTAGGGCTACACGGGAGATGACTTAGTTAGAGTACCACATACACATTGAAATGACGAAAAAACCCTTATCTTTCGAGCCTAACGAGCTGGCTCGTGTTTTAAACGAGTGTTGATTAGAACTCGAGCTCGGCTCGTTTCTCTTTATAAACAAGCCGAGCCGAGCCTTTATCGAGCCGGGTCGAGCTCGGCTCGCGAGCTGCCTGGTTCGATTAACAGTTTTAACCAAAATAAATGCTATTTGTTCTTTTGGTATTGTCATAGTTTGCATCCTTGTATTCGGAGGTATTTGAAAGAATAAACAGCAGCAACAACAACAACAGAATATTCAATTCCACATTTACATTGAAGATAAGTGTGTTTTTCAGTTTTACTCTTGAAAATATATCCACGTGAGAGAGACATGCTATTTTCAGTTAGAGAAATGAGCAAATACGAGCATTAGAATAAAAATGGATCATAGTTTATATGTTAGAGACTATTCTAACTGATTTTAAATATTAGGGATTAAAAAAAAGTTTTTTGTGTAAATGTTAGAGACTAATTTAGCAAATTTTCGTATATATTATATAGGAGCAATGAAAATGATACGAGTTGACTTGGAAGTCTTCAATTAGTTTTTCCGCAATAATGCGGGGCCATGCATTATTTTGGTGCTCCTCCTTGACTTCTATTCCTGTTTCTGAAGAAATTAAGAAGATCGCAGAATCTGCAACATGCATTATTGCATTATTGCTCATGCTGAGAAATGCATATATATATATATATATATATATAAAAGACGAATTCATATTAATTCTTTCTTCAAATTGACCAAAGACCGGCCGGGATTTACGCTTTCCAGTTCAGTACGTCAACGATTATCATTCTGCAAAAATCTTTTCAACGCGGCTGCCTACTTTGCTACTCCCTCCGTCCCACTTTGATAGTCCTGTATTTCTTTTTCATCTGTCCCAAATTATAGTCCACATCCCAATAAAATAATGTAGTTGTATTTTAATTTTTCTAAAATACCCTTATTCAATGTAAGTAGTTATTACTATAAACCTACCCCATTTAATGAGAGTTGATTCTTTTTTTTATCATCAATTCAAATTCCCATAAAATTGTACCATATTTAATGTAAGGGTATTTTAGGAAAATAGCAATCTAAATTTACTTTTTCAATAAAATTAACTATTTTTTCTCAAACTGTGTGAAAAAAGAAATAGGACTATAAAAGTGGGACGGAGGGAGTATAAGGGTTTTATTTGACATTCTAATAATTCCTTTCTTTAGTACTGGATCTGGATGCCGACGATTATTAGAGGACGATACCGACCGCAATTGTCAAAGGCAGTATCTCGCCTACTTTTGACAATGGGGTAGCTGCTGTCGTCCCACTGGTTCTGGTTCTGGACACCACGTACAAGAAGGAAAAAAACTGTGTGTGTAGAGCAAATCTCTCGTCTCACCACCCAATTTGGCACCACAAAACTTTGTTATATATATATATATTTATCGCTCGGCCGCAACTCATCTGAGTCTATCACATGTACGAACCTTCCAAAGATTTTTGACCCGCAGCCCAGGCGCACGACATGCTTAAAGTCAGTCGTCGTTTTAAATTACGCACAGCAAAAGGTCGACTCGCGTTGCTTAGTTGCTCACTCCCTTTTTCTGTTTTTAAGTATTCTTCCCAGTTGTATTTAACACTTACCAGCTGTAGCGACCATTGCTACCTACTGCGTACAATGATAATGGGCGAACGAAGAACTAGACGGGCAATGGACTTGCGCTGCAATTTGTTTTCATGGCAGTAAAATCAAGATAGATATCATTATCCATTTATTTAAAGGACCATGATTCAGCACGATTTTAACTCCCCCATCCCAAAGTCCTAACCTTCACCAGACTGCCGCATCAGACCAGAATAGCAAGTAAACGGGATGATTGGTTCTTAGTTGTTTCCTTTCCTAGCACTAGTAGAGTATTCCCTTGCTCTTTCTTTGCTTTGACAGTAAAGCTCTGAGTTAGACAGTGCTTTCCTGAAGAGTTAAAAAATAAATGATGAAATGATTTTCAAACGCTGTTATAGAGCAGAAACGATGTGCAACTTCTTGATAGCCAATAGCCTATAAGAATGCTTGTTGCTTACTAGGGCAGACGGTGATAGTTAAGCACCAATCTGCAATCATGCCAAGGATTTTTATTATCTGCATTGCCTGGTTTTACCTCTGCGGCCTAGCGTTGACTGCAATATCGGCAGCCCAGAACAACACAAACACAAACACCACCGCCGCCGTCACCACCATCACCAAAGGTGCCAACATCACCAAATTACCAGGATGTCAGCGCCAGTGTGGAAACCTGACAGTTCCATATCCCTTTGGAGTTGGCCCAGGATCTGGTTGTGCTATAGGGACTTGGTTTGAGATTACATGCAACACATCTTTCAACCCTCCCAAGCCTTTCATAGGTCAGCTAGAGATTTATGATATATCAGATAGCCAGATCCGCATTTCCAATGTCATGGCCAAGAAGTGCTACAGTCAATCCGGGGCATTGGTCCAGGATAACACAGCCTGGACCAACCTAGGGAGTACGCCATACAGCTTTTCGGAACTAAACAAGTTCACTGTCATCGGCTGCGATGACTTCGCTCTCATAACGGGATCTGAAGGCTTCAACTTCACTAGTGGATGCGTATCTCTCTGCTCCAAAGCCGAGGACGTGCCTGATGGGTACTGTTCCGGCATTGGGTGTTGCCAAACATCCATACCCAGGGGTCTCAAGTACTATTTTGCTTCCCTCAGCTCGTTGAAGAACCATACGACGGTCTCCTCATTCGATCCCTGTAGCTATGCCTTTCTCGGTGAGCAGGATCGATTCATATTCCGCGGGGCGTCCGATTTTTCTGATCCTAATTTCATGCAGAGGACCTTGGCCACCGTTCCGATAGTGCTGGACTGGGCACTTGGAAACCTGAGTTGCTCAGAAGCCCAGAAAGCAAATGATTATGCATGCAAAGCTAACAGTGACTGCGTTGATTCAGAGACCGGATTTGGGGGGTATCGCTGCAGCTGCAATCCGGGTTACGAGGGCAATCCTTACGTCAGTCCAGGCTGCCAAGGTTGGTCATATAGTCATACATTTATCTGCTTTCTTTGAATCAAATCCCAAGAGATGGTGAAATTAAAACGTTGTTGCGCATGATTTTACTCTGACCTGACTTGCTTCTTGATCTTTTTGTACTTCCCCTTTTTTTTTTGGCCAGACATCAACGAATGTGCAGATCCAAAAAACAATCCCTGTGAAAGGATCTGTATCAACACTCCAGGTGCGTACAACTGCTCTTGTCCTGGAGGATATTATGGTGATGGCAGAAAAGATGGCCGTGGTTGCATTGCCAAAAACAAAGAGCTCCCAGTAATCAAGCTTTCTCTAGGTAACTAGATGATGCTCATTCTTACAGAATTACGTATGTATCTTAAAGTTGGCTAAGGGTACCAAGCTATGATTGTCTTATGAAGCTCTAATTTATGACACCAGATACGACAAATTTAAAAAAGAATAAAATCCTTCATGGCCACATCACGGCAATATTTACCGAGTATAGCAAACTGCCATTCAGACCAAGAAGAAATACAAATGCAAAGACCAACAATCCAGACGATAAATTAACATCCTTTAAATAGTTCTACATCTCCTCAAATAATCGGCTTGTTTTCTTCTGTGGAAGATTTACTTCATGACATCACTTGTGACCAAACATCTAAGCTGCTTGTGAGAAGAATTAACTGCTGTCAATCATAATGCCCTGTTAGTCTACAGAACAAATTGGCATGCTTCATTGCTATGACTGCATGATCCAAAGCTATCAGCAGATGCTGATATCATCCCATGTGAAGATAGATTTTGATAAATGAAACTACCTTCATCTGATCACATAAAAAAACTGTTATATACGATTCCTTGCTCTCGATTAAAATATGATTGATTTGCAGGTTTGGGTTTTGGCTTTCTGTCTTTGCTGGTGGGAATAACTTGGCTGTACTTTGGCATCAAAAAGAGGAAGCTTATTAAACTCAGAGAAAACTTCTTTCAGCAAAATGGTGGCTTGCTGTTGAAGCAACAACTGTCCTCAAATGGAGGTGGTGTGGAATCAACAAAAGTTTTTACGGCTGAAGAGCTAGAGAAAGCTACCAACAAATATGCAGAAGACAGGATCCTTGGTCGAGGTGGTTATGGAACAGTCTACAAAGGAATTCTACCTGATAAACGCATTGTTGCAATCAAGAAGTCGAGAATAATTGACGAGAGTCAGATAGAGCAGTTTATCAATGAGATGGTTATTCTTACGCAGGTTAATCATCGTAATGTTGTGAAGCTCTTAGGGTGTTGTCTGGAGGCAGAAGTTCCCTTACTGGTTTATGAGTATGTCTCTAGCGGGACTCTCTTCCACCATATCCAAAACAGTGCAATGACTTGGTTATCCTGGGAGGATCGATTAAGGATAGCTGCTGAGGCTGCTGGAGCACTTTCTTACCTACATTCAGCGGCTTCAAAACCTGTAATTCATAGAGATGTTAAGTCTGCCAACATACTGCTGGATGAATATTATACTGCAAAAATATCAGATTTTGGAGCTTCGAGGCTAGTACCGCTGGATCAAACTCAAGTGACGACGCTAGTGCAAGGGACATTAGGATATCTGGACCCAGAATATTTCCATACAAGTCAGCTGACAGAAAAAAGTGATGTTTATAGCTTTGGTGTGGTCCTTGCAGAACTTTTAACAGGTAAAAAACCGCTTTGCATGGAGAGATGCCAAGAAGAAAGGAACTTAGCCAAATATTTCGTCATGTCCATGAAGGAAAATCGATTGTTTCAAATTCTTGAGCCACGAGTTGTAAGGGAGGGGGCTTTAGAGCAGCTCCAAGCAGCTGGTGAGCTAGTAAAGAGATGCCTTTACTTAAGTGGCGCGGATAGGCCAACAATGAAGGAAGTTGCCATGGAACTGGAAGGATTAAGAAAGTTTACCCTTAGACATCCTTGGGCTAATCAACATGGCCATGAAGAATCAATGGGCTTAATGACAGAGAATGAGGCATCAGACCTTTACACCGTCCCAATGAGCCCTTATTCAGATACCGTACCCCTATCTGGGCAATACAGCTCAGACGCAGCTCAGATGATGTTCCCAGCAAACAGCCCCCGCTGATGATCGGTCTTAGCCTGCCTACTATATACATGTTCTTCGTATCCTCAATTTTCAATTTTCAGTGTTCTTGAATTACGTCAATCTTCAATAATATCTGCGTATTCATGAGCTAGTTTTAAGAAACCTAGTCTGTATTTTGTCTAAATATCTTCGTCTGGACAGTGTTTTTTTCATTCATGGTTTTATTTTTGCAAATAAATTTCCAGAAAACTTGGTTTCAGTTTGCAAATAGCTCAGAAATTAAGAGAGAGAAAACTGAACTTTTCTTTTCTTAAGATAAATCCCTGCTGAAGATTGATTCGAAGGTTCTAAGGCTTTGCTTCATCACGGCTTACTTTACTGGTTCAGGAGGAAATGGCTGCGACCATGATAACACGTTTCTAGGCAGTTTTTTATTTTTTATCTTTTTTTTTTTTTTTTTTGGTTCGACAACAATCATCTATTCCTACCCTTGCACTTACACTTGAGAGAGAAAGGAAGGCCTTAACTAACTAACGGCGAGAACTGACCTCTCGACCAGATGCACTACGGTACATTCTAGATTTGTAAATAATGAAGCGTTACACTTCTCCTTTAGTGCACCTAAGTCCAGCTAGTTTTGTGCCTAATCTATCCCAGTGAGATGCTCGAGTCTAAAATTTTGGCCATCTTTAATTACTTCTATTGGCAGGGATCAATTTTACAAATACAATGGATACTTGTCTTAAGAACGGGGAGCAGCGCAATTAAGGTTTTATGAATAGTCGAGTTTTTTTTGAGTTTTTCCCTTGCTTGGTTACACTATAAGCACTCTCACAAAAATGTTTAATGAGAGATAACCCTCTGATTACTTATCAATCTAATTCTTATACCAATGTTATTAAACTCAGACTAAATAGCGACTCCACTAAACTATTAGGTTAGGGGTCAATTGATCGAATCGATTGGATCGTTCTCAAAAACTCGTTAACGTCAGCATGATGTCATAATTATTTTATATGTTTATAAGTTTTAGAAATATTGAAATTAAGTTTTTGGTTATATTCGACCAATCATAAATAATGTTTCAAAAATATTAGACTTGCAATCAAATTTACACCTAATAATTATATCTAAAAATGCAAGTCCATGGATAAAATATGTCCATTCACCAAAACTACTTGAAAAGCTAAATTAAAATTAATACAAGTTGAAATCATTGATACTAATTTGATAAGATCATAGGGATGAAATATCTTGATTTAGAAATCATTTAAGAAAGCAAGTGATTTTGGAATTTACACTAAATGGACGGCGTTTTTTTATTCTTATTAATAAATAAATGTGTTACAATTTAAATAATTCAAATTATATTTGAGAAAAGAAGAAATAAAAGTTTGCAAACATGATCAATCAATCGAATCGAGTCACTGATTTAACTAATTTTTAATGATTTTGACTGATTTTTAGCCGAAGCAATTTTGTACTATAAACCAACTCGAAAAGAAAAGAGCTCACGATTGGACCTGTCCAATCAGCCAGTCCGATTTGGATATAACAACTGTCTTATGCACGACAAAACGAGAGAGGTACATTGCTCCAAGAAAGTGGAGGATTTTTTTCCCGCTCTTTATCCAATCACATGCTCTAACAAATAGAAATTGGTACGACTTTCCAAATAAGTAATTGTTCACATACTCCCTCCGTCCCATTTTGATAGTCTTATTTTTCTTTTTTATCTGTTTCAAATTGTAATTCACTTTCTTATTAAGAAATATAGTAATCTTTCAAATTATCTAAAATACCCTTATTAAATATCTTGTTATTAATACATTGTTATTAAATACTAACCCACTACATTGAATACATTAAACTTTTCCAATACTAACCCAATATTAATTGGCACTTTTCGTGATTAGCATAAGAGTATTTTAGAAAATTATTAATCTAAATTTATGTTTCCAATCAAATTAATTACACTTTCTTAATCTGTGTGAAAAAAAACCAAGACTAACAAAACGGGACGGAGGGAGTATTAAATTCATTCTTGACAAATTAGAAACAAATCAACAATACAGAGGGGATTGGTGAAATTGGGGCAAAAAAAAAAAGTTGAAGGGTCTTGTTGTAATTAAACCCAAAGAATAGATAGGAAAAAAAAAAAAAAAAAGAATACACCAACGAAACCCTAATCCGCAGTTGCCCGCCCCATGAAGAGGGAACAAGAGTAGTTACAACCTCACAGGCTTACAGTGTATAACACAGATTAGCAAACACCTCAGCGGTGGCCAATGCGCGGCACCTCTGCTAATATCAAATCCCAATCCCCTTCTTTTCTTATTTATTCTTTGGTTGTAGCTCCGTGGAAAAATCTCTAGGTAGATGCATGTTAGTTATACAAAGAGCAGTAGAAGTTAGTTTGAGGGGGATGTTTCCGGATGATGAAAGAGGGGAGACGGAGAGGGATTTGGATCTCACCTCTCTTGAATTGGTCACCAAATATGAATCCGCCGGCGAGTTCGTCAGCAGTTACTTTCCTCGCCACATTTTCTCCCCCCCTCCTCTCTGTAAACAATTCCACAATGGTACTTAATCTTTCTGTGTCTATCTTATTAACGCACACGATTAAGTGCTAGTGTAGTATACTAATTGCACATGAAAGACCGGTGACTGGAAGAGCAGCTGATATAACTGCTGCTGAAGTTGCTCTGAGGCTTGTCAGGCTCAGGCCTGAGAAAAAGGGAAGGCGTCTTGCACTGTAAACTTCAAGGGGGGCTTTCGTTTAATTGGGTTTCATTTTCTTCCTGTATTGCTTCGTCAGGAATCTAAGTGTGATTCTGCCATTTTGAAATTATTCTTTTTGCCCTCGTTAGGTGAAGAAAGGACATCTCTGTCAGCATCAAGCACAATTATATCTGTTATTTCTTAAATTCTTCTTTCCCTAGATGATGATCACTTTGAATAAGCTATGGATTAACTTCCATGTGAAGCTTTTGTCATAGTTACTCTGATAGGGGATGCAAATCCTTTATGCCATAGTTATTAAACCCAATCCGTGAGGAACCGGCGAACGAGGTGGGTCAACGGGTTACTGGTTCAATCAGTGGGTGAGTAGTTGAACCGGTGGGTCACTAAATATATTTAAATATTATATTTCATAATTTTAAATATAAGATATAAGATATAAATTGTAATAAATAATGTCATAGCAAATACCCATATAATTTAATTTGCTATAAAATAATTAATTCATATAAGAATCAATAAAATATAAAGTTATTTAGTAATACACCAAATTTTAAGTATAAAATTTTATCTATATTCAGTGTAATTATCTAACTTATTTATAAGTTTTAAGTGCAAAAAAATATTAAAAATAATATTTGTCTTTAAAATGAATTATGTAATATGTTATTTTTGAAGTCTATTTTATAACTTATAGAGTTTGGGGGTCATAAATTTTTATTAAAAGATTCCAAATAAATTTGTTTTAGAGAAATAAAAAAAAATTAAATTGAAAAAGGTTTATATATTATAAGTAAGAAACCTTAGCACAATATTGTGAAGTAGCTTGGTGGCATCTGCGTTGTTGCAATGCTCATACGTCCAATGTTCGAATCTCATCAAAGGCATAAATTTTTTCTCAGGGACCGGTTTCTAGACAAAACTGGCCGGGTTTCCGGTTTAATCCAGTCGAACCGCCGGTCCGTTGACTAGTCAACGGATTGATTGCTTAAACGATCTAACTCAAAATCCAGCCCGGTCTAATGCCCGGTTCACCGGTTCGACCTCCGGACCGGACCGGGTTTAATAACTATGCATGCTGTCCTGGTTAACTACATTTTTTCTAAATGCTAGTTTAGCCCTGATAATTTTTGGAATTTAGTGCTATATCCCGAATAGCGTCCCATTGTCATTTAAACTGAATGTATTATATTAACCCAGATTGGAAGAGTACTTCTGGAGCTATGACGTTAGAGATCTTTGGAATTGAATGTTGGTATATGGACAGGCCATTTGAAAATTAGACTTCTTTGCAGCAGGGGAAGTATATGTTCTTGTCGTTCAACATGTGCAGTAAGCCATGGTGACACATGTCCACGTGAATGTGATTGGAAATGCAAAAAGACAGTCTACAATCAGAGGTTCTAAAACTTTTACCTAGTAGCTAGACTTGCAAAATTGGATAAAAAGAATACGCCTTTTCAAAATACACATATATGATACAGTAAAGTATAGGTTTGTCATTGGGAAGTCTCCTTTCCCCAGTGGCTTGTGGTATTTGTATCTTTTCTGTGTTTATGCTTCGATCTGCTATCGTAATAGTTTTATGGAAGTTGAAATGGAATTTTGGATGACAAGTGACTTCTTCTGTCAATCCTGGGCATATATATTTTAAGTGCAATGTGAATCATATCGATTAGAGATTTAAGCAACATTTGCCATCAGAATAAACTTTGCTATGTGTGAATAGATAGAAATTGTTGACAACAGAATAAACTTTGCTATGTGTGAGCTATATTTAGCTTGATTTTTCCTTTTTTATATTAAGCCCTAATAATTAATATTAGCCTCCTAAGATTGAAGTCTAAATTGTATAATATCGACTAAACTGATAGGAACTAGGAACAACAAAATAGCATTTGATTTTTGTGTGTGAGAGCTATGGTGGCTTCGTAACTGCGCATAATTAGCGCTAAGACGTCCAAGAGCATATCCAAATGCGTTCATGCATGCATAAAGATACTCTTGTACGATACTTTCTTTTCTTCAAAAATAGTGTTTAATAGGGTGCAGAGTTAAAGCCATAGTTTGTGTAATGCAGATTAGCATCATTTATAAGCAAGTTTTAACGTCACATATAAAACATGTGCAATCAAAATGAACCTTTTTTTCAGATTTTTTTATTAAACAAGCATCATCCAACCACATCCAAAACTGTTATTCCAGTACTTTTTTTTTCCCTTTGGAAAACTGGAAAAGAAACACAAAAAGCACGAAATCAGATGACTCAACTTCGGCACACAAAATATGGACATAACTGGAATCCCACGTGGCAGAACCAACACCTGATAATGCACAGAAACGTTCCAAAATTACTCTCTTCCTTCATACTTAATGGAGAAAGAATGAGCAAAAGCCTTGTACATACATTCACATAAACT